TGAGAGTCAATCAGCTGTTTTTCAGTTAAACTTAATTGGGATTCCATAGCATTTTTATAGCTTGCTAACAAATGAGCTTATTCTGGCATTTAGTTCAGGAAACGGAGAAGAGGCTTCAGCCCAGCTGCAGGTGTCTGAGGCTCAAATACCAAACCGGGGCTTCCCCTCTAGCTTTGGGCAGAAACTGGTGACTCAGGGACGGGAATCTTGGAGAGGGGTGTATTTAAGAGAACAAGCATTGCAGATAGATAGGTAATCTTCCCTCTTCTTTGCTTACAGGTTTGAAAGAACATCGTTCTCAGACACTGTGAAATCTGGACTTTGTAACAGTGCACTATCTGAAGGAATATAAGGAATTGACAAGTTGTAGCTTCCTCGCCATTACTTTTTTGGTATTTGTACCTCTTGCTTCTTCTGCGGCTTTAGATCAAGAAACACCATGAGCACAGTAAGTATTTCACTACTCAATGCGAACCTGATTCTTAAAACATGCTGGTTTTACAAACATTTTTAAGAGTTTGTAATAAATGTGCTGGAACATAAGCATATTAAAACTTTGTATGACATCATATTCTGTGATACTTAAGATTTTTAATCTCTCTAGGTACTACCAATAGTTAAGACATGCAAATGTCTGAGCAAAAACCTTAAGTCAGACCAATTCCAATGGTTGGCTGGAAGCTAGCATCTCATATAATTGTGAACTACTCTTCTCATTGTGATTGTTTGCCAATGTGTTTCTTCTTTGTGACCCAACTCGTAAGAGATCTGGGGTGATGTCTTTTCCTTGAATCGATGTGTTCAGATAGGAATGACCCATACTACCATTCTTTCCATACTACAGCCTTTCAGGGGAGTGTTTAGTGTCTCCTTGCGTGCTTTCGTTGGTGCTGCAAAGATGAGGGCCACGTTAATATTACTCCTAAAGAAAATGCTACGGCTTTCTTCTCTCTTAGACTCAACGAAAGCGCCGTGGAGGAGCAGTTCATTCTAGGCAAGCTCGGAAACGAAACAGGCTGATGGCTTCTACCGCAGAAATGGCTTCAGAAGCAGAGCCAATAGAACTTGAAGAAAGTGGTAAGCTTTCTTTTTAACTCGGGAAGAACGTGAAGTGCTTCTGGAGGGTTGTGGTCCCACTTGACGTGTGTCTTTGGCAGTGTCTATGCCCAGTTTTACTGGGGAGGAAGGGAAACCTCTGATTTTAGACAGCATCTAGCATGGCATCCTTAAACAACAAGCCTGCTGACAACTGGTTTAGTTTGTTCCTGAGGTGTGATAACATTCACCACGAGTGACAGATGAGTTGTGTAAGAAAGGTACTCAAGTGCTGCTCCAACATGCGAATGTCTAGTCCGATGAGCCGGGAGTCGCTGCAGCTACCACTATGGAGAGTGGCAACTTGAGCTTGGGAACTCCTAAGTTTTAAGGAGATAATTGAAAGTTTGCCATTAGTTGTGCCTCATCCCTCAAGGAGAGGCAGTACTTCGCCAGTGCTTTTTTTTACAAAATGTATCAGAATTAGAAAAGCCTCCTTGACCTCTTACGATTGAAAGTAGCTGTTGGTCTCCACGTAATTATACGGCTTTTTCAGTTTTTGCTGTGCATTTGCCTATGAAAAGTTGGGAGACACATGAGATAGGAACATTTACAGCATGGTACTGTAAAATTATTATATCCTGTATGATTCATGTTTTATTCTGTGTGACAAGCATTCTCTATGTTAGATGAATAATCTGTTGCTGTGTACCTCCCACAAGCTGTTGTCATACAACAGAACTGTGTGAGGAGCTCGGCCGCTGTTCCTCTTGCATTGCAACTTGCAGAAGACAGCGGCGGTAATGCTCTACGTTGACTGTTCACTGCTTGAGTGAGCTGTTGGACACGTTCCCGAAGAGCAGAGGGATAGGGCAAGGCTGAAGCATACCTCAGCCTGTTACATAGTGGTGGGCACTTTTATTCCTCTGCAATCCCTGATCTTGATTCTAACCTTGTGTTTTGAAGCCGGTGAAGAAGTAGTAGATCTCACATGTGAATCTTCTGAACCTGTAGTCGTTGATCTAACTCACAATGATTCTGTTGTGGTAAGTAGTGAATGGCACACCTATCTAAATCTTGTGGTCAAATGAGCTCTGTATTGTGCTCCCTGATAGAATCTGGCTTTAAGTGTAAGTAAGTCGTAAGTTCAAAGTTGACTCACCAGTGCATGAAAACCATGTGTTATGGGTCAACACAGAAGCTGCTCTGGAGGTGTGCTTGCAGACAGTTAGAGGGTAATCTAAACCAGCTTGGTGCTCCAGAACTTGGGGAGAATATCGACCGTTCATGGGTAACGTAACATAAGGAGATGCAATTGACAGTTGAAGCTCTTCCAGATGTATCAAAGGCATAGGCCAATGATTTAAATAAAAGGTAAAGGAGACAATAGTAAGGCTTTTGACTTCACAACTACAAAGGGTTTAGCTGCAACATCAGTTGGAGGTACTCCTGTCACAGAGATGCCAAGCGCAACTGTAGCTGGCCATGGTACAAACTAGTTCAGTTTATTACTCCAAGAAGTCTTAAAAAAAAAAAAAA